TATAGAGATAGCTCAGCATAACCTGAGCTATCTCTGTAGTTCTGCTGCTATAGGCTTAGACTGCTGGAGGACATAGGGACCCCATTTCATCATTCTGCTTCATTCTATCTCTATTCTCCCACTCTGCAGAATCTGTTAGTTCAATCTCTAACGTTCTGCTCTCTCTGCTTTTTCTCATAGTAGCTTCATCAGGTCTGTTCCTGTTTGGCTGTTTGCCCCCGACCCCCCACCCGCCCGGAGGGCTATAGCTAGCTTCCACTGATAACAAGTGACAAGATCCCTTTAAGTTAGAATAACAATAAAGTTGTTCATTCAGAAGCTGATGATCAAAAGTTCATATTTTATTATATCCTTATGGAGTGACATAGATCAGTCAGATGCTGGTTTTCTACCTGGTAGCAGAGGGTCCAGGTCCTTTGCTGAAGTCTAGAGGGTGTCCTTTGGACCTATCAATCCTCACAGAGGAACGTTCTGCTCCATCCTCCTTCACATCGATATACTCCATCTTCTGCTCTTCAATCAATCTGAGAGAGAAAAGAACCAGTGCTTCAGGTCCAGTCGGTGTGTAGAGAACCAGATAAACATATTTACGGCTACTACAACCAGCCTTGACTTGTCTTCTCCTTCTTTACATCAGACACTCTGATGTTGGGAGTAAAGGCCTACTGGCTAGAACAGAGTTTGAGTTCCTGTACTTGGTTCATCCTACAGCCGAACCCTCTGAGTCCATGAGCAAGACCTTTAGCCCTAGTGTTTGAAATCTCTTCTATTAAATCCATTTCTATAGCTCCAATTCACATCATGTCATCTCAGGTCACTTTATAGAGACAATTCAACCAGTTCATCCAGTAAGACTGGTTCAAGGTTTTCTATCTAAGGGAAACCAGCTGATTGCATCGGCCATCTGCTGAGGCCGACTGGGGTTTGTATTTCATTGTAATGCATGTTTGCAACGACCAATACAGTTGATAATCTTTATGTCTGTTGGGAGATTTGTAGGTGCTTAAAGGAAATTAGAGTTAAAACTGTGTCTGAAATCAGAGGAAAGTCAGATGTAATCCAAGTAGTGACTTGTGCTGGTTCTGAACACAGGAGCCTGCTGACCTGCTGCGATAAGCTCCAGTGAGAAACTTTAAGTTAAAGAAGCAGTTCTGGAACATTTCAGACTCAGACTTCCTTTGGAGGAAGATGAAGTCCAAGTCTGAACCAAGCAGAGACTAGACCATTAAGAAGAACCAGTTAAAACTTGTCTAATTTTGACATTTGTTTAAATATCTCCATCACCTGAGGAGCAGGTGAGCAGCAGCTTCCATTGAATATACTGATTCAGTATAATATAATATATTATAATATAATCAAATATAAACAAAAAAAATCTGGTGATACTGCTCTGCATCTAAGTTCTCCAATATAAGCAAGTTAATAGAAACACTGAACTAATTTCTCATATTTCATTTGGACAAATACTGGATGACGATAATTCTGAACATATCCAAGCTGATGCGGACTAGAATTGATAACAATGCAGGCGCCGTGGGTTTTTGGGCATTGCCCGGCCCTACTGCTGGGTGGGTCCGGGATGGGTCCGGGGGTCTGGGATCCCTGGGGCGTGTTGCCCTCGGGCGCGGGTCCCGGTGGGGTTCGGAGGCTCGGGTTCTGTGGGTGGTGCTGCTTTAGGTCTGGGCCGGTATGCGCCCGGCTGTCTACTCCTGCTGCCGCAGCCTCTGGTGTGCCAGGGTGCCTCGGGGCCTGTTGGGCTGGGGGGGCATGGACATTAACAGCTATGGCAGATGCTTACCCCCTCACGGGTTTGCACTCTGTAAGTGAGGGAAGGGGAGGGAGAGGGGCAGTAGGAATGATCTCGGCCTGGATGTCTTTTGTCGCTTGTGTGGTGAGTAGTTTGAATGTTATTGTAGGGGAGGGATTAGATATCCGGAGGGGGGGGGGGGGGGGGTGATAGAGGGAGAGGATTTCAGAAGGGCTTCGGGTCTGGCTCCCTGTCTTGGTCCTGGGCCGTGCTGTCCCCTGGTGGGGCGTCGTCCGGGATGGGGGCTCTGCGTGTTGCGCGTGGGCTGGCCGGCCGGAATTATTATCATCATTCCTTTTTTTCTATTCTTATTTTATTTTTTTCTATTTATTTATTCATTAATTTATTGTTTTTTTTTGTTTTGTTTTTTTTGATGGACAGGATGGGGGGAGGGTGGTGGTGTTGGTTCTGTGCCCGGCTGGCCGGTGGGTCCTGCTGCCGGTCCCTGGCCCTTGGGCTATGGTGGTGAGACTGGTGGGGCCCCCCTCTCTGGAGGGTCTCTCGGGGAACAGGGGTGCCTATTGGAGTCAGCGAGGGAGCTGGCTCCCTGGGAGTGCAGCTAGCACCCCAGTCCTTTGCTCCCCATCCCCGAAATCCTCCCTCTGCCTGCTCCTTCACACTGCCACATATGTAGATTTTTGTGGAGGGGGTCGTTACCAGAGGGCCCCACCTTCTGACGATGTCCCCCACCCGAATTTTATTTTGCATTTTAGACATATCCATCTACATCATTTTCACAACACACATCTATGTAGGGTATTTTGTAGGGTGGGGGTCAAGGCCACCTGGGGGGGGGCTTATTTTATGGGCCTCACCACGGTCGGCCTCTTCAATCCCCTCTCGCATCTAGACATTGAAGGTCCAGGGTTGTCAAAGGGGGGGGGTGCGCTGGCACCGTCTATCCCCCGGAGGGGGGGTGGACTGTGCCGGACATCCCCTCTTGGTACTCCCAGTTTTAATTACATCTGAGAGCAACACGCATCAACACCACATCTGAGCGGCCGCAGGGAGGATCGGGGTCTTCTCACACCCCTGTTCTCCTGCTGCCTCCCGGAGTCTGGGGCCAGGAGGAAGAGTGAGCCACCGGTGGCTGGGGCTGTTACTTCTGCTCTCCCCAAAGAAGGTTGGAAAGAGGGGCATGAAGTGCCTGGTTAAAGTAGGTTTTTTTTTTTTTTTCTTTGGGGGTGGCGGTTCTGAGTTGGGTGGCCTGCGTGGGATGGGTGGGCCCCGGTCCCGGGGGGGGCTCTTGCTGGGGGTGGTCCGGTCCGTGTGCGGGGTGGGTGGCCGGGCTCGAAGTGGCGGGGTCGCCGCTCCCCTCCGCCCCATCCGGATTTTAGGTTCACTTATTGGGTCATCCGATAGTCCTGGGACAAGCCACTGGTGCCGCCGGGTCTTTGGTCCTGGAATTATTGGATTCGAGTGTTATGTGTGAATGTGTGTCCGCGTTTTTATTTTATTTATTTAATTATTTTTATTATTTATTTAGTTATTTATTTTTCATTTATTTATTTTTTCTTTCCCTGTGGTGCGAGTGGGGGCACTAGGGAGGGATGGCATAATTGAGATTGTGAGTGTGTTTTTTTTTTTTTCTCCTCTCCCAGGTTGGGGTCCCAACTGCACCCCCTCCCAAATACATCTCAAGTCTCCGCTAACTGCGGAGCCCATTCCCCCCGTCCTGCTCTTCCTCCGCTGGCTGGTGTCGGGGCTCGCCAATGCACTGGTGGGGCTTGGGGTCTGGGGGTGGATGCCCGGGTGGCTGCCGGCTCGTTCCTGGCAGCCTCTCCGCTGCCCCGGCCGGCCGGGGCCTTGCTGGGGCTCCTGTCTGGGGGTCGGGCGCCCCTGGGGCCTCGGATCCCTGGGGCCCAGGACTAGATTTGCTTCGGGGTGGGGCCGGGTGTTGTTCTGAGATTGTCGGTGCCGGTGCCGGTGCCAGTGCCTTCGCTTCGATGCTGGTCTTGTGGTGCCGGTTCCGGGGGGAGGGGAGCTGCACGGCATGGTGAGGTGCGGGTCTTGGGTTTTGTTTTGGGCTCTTGTTTTTACGCTTGCATTTCTCTTCTTGCTTAGGGGAATTTTTTATTTTTTATTTATTTATTTTTTATTTATGTATATATATATGTACACTCACCGGCCACTTTATTAGGTACACCTGTCGAACTGCTCGTTAACACTTAATTTCTAAGCAGCCAATCACATGGCGGCAACTCAGTGCATTTAGGCATGTAGACATGGTCAAGACAATCTCCTG